TGTGATGAATATGTATTTAAAATGGTTACGGGGTATCTCAGCATAGATTTCCCTTATAAACCTTTATCAGTACACCTGTGTTAATAACTAGGATAGCGCCCTAGCATGTGGGGTACAAAACACCTACTGTATGCCATCGCATCCATTCCCTTGCCTCCCCTGTCCCTCGCTTAGCCTCCTTCTTATTCTACCGCCCCAGCTATCTTTCCTGCAGCCTTTCCTCAGTCTCCCATCCCCTATCCCCTTCAGCAAGCATATTATGAAGTTTGCCTCAGACGGCACTGCACGCCTAACACGGTGCGCGCGCTTGCGCAATATCTCCCGTGAGAAATCGTATTTTGCAAAGATTATGCATTTAAAATGAAGAGGAGTTATCCTACCATATATTTATATGATAACATTCCATCTGTAGACATCATTTAAGAAACATGAGGAAGAACTTGCATGTAAGGTCCCCGTTGCGTATACCAGCCAGTACACAATCTGGCTACGTTAGTGTGTTAGCGCATGCGCAATATCTCACCAGAGCAGTTATATTTTTAAATGAATATGCATTTCAAATGGTTAGGGGGTATCTCAGCATAGATTTCCCTAATAAACTTTTATCAGTAGACCTGTCTTTATAATTTGGAGAGCGCCCTAGCATGGTGGGCACAAAACACCTACTTTATGCCCTCGCGTCATTCCCCTTGCCTCCCCTGCCCTTCGCTCAGCCTCCTTATTCTTATATGGCCCCCAGCTATCTTCCCTGTCGCCTTTCCTCAGTCTTCCTTCCCCTCTCCACCGCAGCAAGCTATATTATAAAGTGTTCCTCAGACGGCACTGCACGCCTAACACGGTGCGCGCGCATGCGCAATATCTCCCGTGAGAAATCGTTTTTGCAAAGATTATGCATTTAAAATGAAGAGGAGTTATCCTAGCATAGATTTATATGATAGCATTCCATCAGTTGACATCATTTAAGAAATCGGAGGAAAACCTTGCATGTAAGGTCCCCGCTGCGTATACCAGCCAGTACACAATCTGGCCAAGTTAGTGTGTTAGCACATGCGCAATATCTCACCAGAGGAATTATATTTTGAGATGAATATACATTTAAAATCGTTAGGGGATATCTCAGCATCGATTTCCCTAATAAACTTTTATTAGTAGCCCGGTGTTTATAATAAGGAGAGCGCCCTAGCATCTAGGGTACAAAACACCTACTTTATGCCCTCGCGTCCAACCCATTGCTTCCCCTGTCCCTCGCTCAGCCTCCTTCTTTTTCTACCGCCCCAGCTATCTTCCCTGCCGTTTTTCATCAGTCTCCCATCCCCTCTCCCCCTCAGCAAGCTATATTATGAAGTTTGCCTCAGACGGCACTGCACGCCTAACACGGTGCGCGCGCATGCGCAATATCTCCCGAGAGGAATCGTTTTTTGCAAAGATAATGCATTTTAAATGAAGAGGAGTTATCCTAGCATAGATTTATATGATAACATTCCATCAGTATATATCATTTAAGAAATAGCAAGAAGTCCTTGCATGTAAAGTCCTCGCTGCGTATGCAGGCTACAGATATCCACATCCAAGTGTGGCCTTACGCCACCGGGGGCCTAGGGCCCCGCTGGCGCAATAATACACTGTGCAAGTGATGCAGCCTACTTTTCTTTGCTGGAGGCAGTATAGTTTACAACCAAGGCTTACTACACACTACTATATAGGCCTTAGGCCCCCTTCATACATAATACTATATATGTAGCCTTGGTGGGCCACCAGCATACACTATACTACAATACTATCAAGAGCTAATAATACCTAGAGTGTACAACGGAAAAACGGGAAAATAGTGCTATTTCACGACATTATTATTCTACTTTGCCTGCGAGTCTAGAATAATTT